CCTAAGTATGGTTGAGTTCGAATTTCGTGAAAATTGGGCCAAAACTGACAGACAAAATGGCCGCCCTCGTACCCAAATAGCGTAAAAAAAAATATGGTATATCAAGGTTGTGGACCCTCAGAGGTCACAATGTTCTTCTGATTTTGATGAAAACTTGAAATGTAAGTTTATAACCTAAAGATCTCAGTTCCTTTCGATATTCGCGCATATCGGACAGTAACTTCCTGAATTATGGCCCCTGATTGTACGAAAAATCGCGATTTTAGCTTGTGGACCTATAGCGGTCATAATTTTTATCCGATTTAAAAAAAAAAACGTTTGAATATATCACCGTTACACCCTAAGGATGGTTGACGTCGATTTTCCTAAAAATTGGACCAAAACTGACAGACAAAATTGTCGCCCCTCGTACTCAAATAGCGTAAAAATATGGTATATCAATGTTGTGGACCCTCTAGAGGTCACAATTTTCTTCTGATTTTGATGAAATTTGAAATGTAAGTTTATAACCCAAAGATCTTGGTTCCTTTCAATATTTGCGCATATCGGATAGTAACTTCCTGAATTATGGCCCTTGATTGTACGAAAAATCGCGTTTGAGCTTGTGGTCCCTATAGATGTCACTATTTTTATCCGATTTAAAAAAAACAAACCTGGGAACATATCACAGTTATACATTAATGATGGTTGAGTTCGAATTTCGTGAAAATCGGACAAAAACTGTCGGACAAAATGGCCGCCCCTCGTACGCAAATATATAGTGTATAACATCTGGTATATCAAGGTTGTGGACCCTGTAGAGGTCACAGTTTTTATCCGATTTTGATGAAATTGAAATACATGTTTATAACCCAAAGATCTTGGTTCCTGTTGATATTCGCGCGTATCGGATCGTAACTTCCTGAATTATGGCCCTTGAATGTACAAAAAATCACGTTTTTAGCTTGCGGTCCATGTAGAGGTCACAATTTTCATCTGATTTAAATAAAAAACATGTGAATATATATCACCATTACACACTAAGATCTTGGTTCCTTTTGATAATCGCGTATATCCGAACGTAACTTCCTGGATTATAGCTCCTGATTGTTCGAAAAATCGCATTTTTAGCTTGCGGATGCTCTAGAGGTCACAATTTTTTCCGATTTTAAAAAACCGTTCAAATATATCACCATTCCACCATAATGAAGGTTGAATTCGAATTTCGGGAAAATCGAAATGAAACTGCCCGACAAAATGTCCGCTCTTTGTACGCAAATTGTGTAAAAGGTTGTGGACCCTCTAGAGGTCACAATTTTTATACGATTTTGATGAAACTTAAAACATATCTTTATCCCAAAGATCTCAGTCCCTTTTGATATTTGCGCATTTCAGATCATAACTTTCTGGATTATTGCCCCTGATTGTACAAAAAATCCCGTTTGTTTTTAGCTTGTTCTCTACCCATCTCTTGCAAAATGTGGGCGTATCCTGCCTAGCAGCCGCTGGTTGTCTGTGTGAGAAACTGAATGAGTGGAAGAAAATGGACGGATACGACGCTGACAATATTTTATCACAGACCCTTGATCTGTATGAAGAAGGAGCCACATTATCTCAGTGGTGCAGTGGTGCAGGACAGAGGATGGGACGAAAACCTAGGTCTCTTGTACACATTGACGTGCTCGTAAAAGATCCCTTGGCATTTGGAATTCGATATTAGAGTAGGCTATGATGGGAACGGGTGAGGCCTATACTGCATTAATTTTTGTGGAATATGTTTTACATTCACAATTCGTCAGCCACGGAATAAACTAACCATAACCTCAGGATGTGAAAAAATGGCATGTAGAATTGGTATATTATTTAGAATAGACATCCAAAAGGGAATATTAACATTATTTTAAAAATGGCGGAACAGAACAGCAATGTGAATAGGGTCGTGAGGGGGCGGGGTCGGATGGGATGGGGGGGGGGGTCTAGAGTGTCATCCACAATCCCATCCAACAATGAATGTCAACAAAATACTGGCGCTAACACTGTCTGAGCGCCCCGGTAGAACATAGATCGTATTGCGTATATAGTTGTTCACCGATTGTTGTCTTGCCGAAAAGCAGTTTTATATAAGTTGACATAAAGTTCATGTCATATTTTAATTGTTATTGATTTGTGAAGTGACTATAACACTGAGCAACCTCAAGAGGGTGGGGGCGGGGTCGGCTCCCTCTGAGAGAATTTTGAAAATTTGAGTCAATATCCTAGTCATTGCTGGGAGCAATTTTTTGTGAACGAGAGGATCAGAAATGGAAGTCAATGGGACAGAATCTTGAGATCTGCCTGTCAATTCCGCCTGTTATGTGAGAGATAACAGAAAATTTGTACAGACTGTCGCTCCACGCACTAGTGGTAGCCTACTACTAACTGCGCAGTTCACTATAGGGCCTAACCGTGAATATGATAGTGATAAGATAGTATAGTATAAGATCACAGAGGAGTAGAGGGGGAATGATACTATAATGGAATCGAGCACCATAGGCGCGAACAATTTTCAGATAACAATGTATAATATATAATTAAACTTTTAATTTCTTGGGACTGGGCCTAAATTTCCTGGCATTTGAGTTCACTCATGGTAGCAAATTCTTTTTTTTTTTTTTTTTTTTTTTTTACCTGTCGATGGTAATCATTAGAATTACCTGTTTTTTTTTACGTCAGATTTCTACAAGCATATATTAAGTACATTTATATCTTAAATGATAAAATACATTATTCTATAAAAATGGTGAGTCGCAGGGTTCCTACTATACACAGATCTAAGTACATAAATCCATCAATGGGAAATCGTTATGGAGGCAATCTGTTAATTCTTAAAAAGATATTTCCATTTATTTGTGTATAATTCTGGAGATATCTCAATCTCCATTTTAGCATGCTCTACTAAAAAGCTTTCATACTTATTAATATTGAGCATTTCGTTTCGTAGTTTAGCCCGATATATATAGAATTTAGTTAAAATAATTACATGATTAATGAAAATCCATTCAGTATTACTTATATAATTTGATTTGTTAGTTAGACCAAGGTGTATTATATGTGTTTTTATATTTATCTTTATATTACCACGATCTAGGATAGTATGAAGATGATTCCATATTATTTGTGAAAATGGGCAAAGGACAAAGAGATGTTCTACATTTTCTATATTAGATTCACAGAAAGTGCAGAGTGTGTTATCAACTTTTCTAATTTTGAATAATTTATCATTTGTGAATATAATCCTATGGAGATATTTGTATTCAAAACTCCTCAGTTTTGTACTAAGACATACAGTGTTTATTATTTTGAATATATTTTCTACGTCTAAATCACTTAACTCGGTATCTAGAATGTGTTCCCATTCTTTAATGGCTTTTGGCCTGCTGAACTTTGCTTGTATTCGGCTATCATAAATATTTTTTAAGTTTACGTTGTGAAAATGGGTATTATATATTTTGTAAAAATTAGTATTTATATCTTCCAAGGGAGTTCTATTACAATTAAAATTTGTATGTACCGCACTTTCAAACTCGCTCGCTTCCTGTACATACTGCACAAATTCTTGTGAACGATCGTTCGAAGATAAGAAATGGGACATAATTTCGAGCTATAATAATGTCACTATTTCAGTAGTTCCTTAAAGTTACAATTTCATATTTTCTAAGAACTCAAAACATAATTATTTCTATGTCTTTTGCTCAATAGGTTGTCAACTCACTATTATACGATCATACGTGATATTCTCCCACTTAAAACTCATTTACACCGGAAATAATAACACAATTACCTCCCTTGTTTTCTATTCTCCACCATGGAGTAACTATCTTCAAACGATTGAATTGAAAGTTGAAAATGATATTTTTGCCAATTTCTCAACTGGCAATAGTGAATTATAGGATTAATCTTTAACAGGGTAGGACTGTTTATAGATACCATCTATTTTAGGGCTTTATTTTAATATATTTTAAAAATATAACTTAAAAATATGAAATTGTAGCAACTTCAAAGTTGACCAGTGGTTTTCATTTGGAAACCGATATCCTACTCTATGCCGACTTAAATTCCAACCATCCAATCAGACAGCAGCCGCATTCACAAATAATAATCGATGCCCGTAATGTCGCACAAAGTAATAGAGTGGCTCCTGACAAAATGTTTTAATCCATGGTCAATTCAGTACAAATTCGTAGAATTCAATTAAAGGAGCTAAATCGCTAACATTTGGGACCTAGAAATTGACAAAAGTAGGTCGCAACACATATAATACTGTAGTATGAATGTATATAAACTGATTAACATTCAATGGTTTCCGTATTTACTCCAATTTCAAATCAGTTATGTTCGGCGAAATAAGCCAGTAGTCTCAAGCGAGTGCAAATTTCTAGCGTCTGGTTATTCCAGTCTACATACGCTGTTTGATTTGGTGCAATGTGTCTAGCCTTGTCCCTCGAGTCTCTTGATACAACTGGGGCTGAAGCGCATTATGGTACACGATTCGTGTACCAATGATAAAATGTTTATTTTGTCTTAAAAATTGGATATCAAAGGCCCATCTTTTTCCGGTAAGATCACAACATGAATGTTAATTTAATTTGACAAATAAATCGTGTTTTCAATGTTGAAGATTTTGGATGATATTGAGTAGAGACTTAGCTACTTTAAAAGAAAAGTAAAATTAGTGTTTTATTAGATTTCGGGCTCTTTATTTTGCCAGATAAATGAAATAATATTTTTTTATGTTCACTTTACCCGTCTGCTCGAAAACTCAGACTGCCCGAAAGTAAGGCTCGTACTCCTATGTGTATTTATCTTTAATGAATTAACACTGCGTAAGTAGGTTCTTCGAACGTTGAAGACTGGGGGGTTTTGGTGTTCGAGACTATCGTTCAGTATTTCTTGACATTCGGAAAACACCGGTACCCAATAGCTACAGGTTTTCCGAATGTTTTTCTTTGGGAGACTGGTTATTCAAGACTACATTTCTACCAATCCTCTGGTAGAATTTTGTTTACCTCAGCTATGTCAATGTTAGTTTCCGGTTGAATAGTGTTGCTTAGAAACAAAGATTGTGAATCTCTAGCAGTATTTAATTGAGTTTCTCTATTTTGGTATTGTTCTTGTGTCAGCTGAAGTTCAAAGAAAATGGTGAGATATATTTGTTTCAATCACGGTACAGTTTTCCTTGAAAAGAAAACGTTTTGGTGTGTGATTTTCAGTGTTGAATGTTTAGAGATTTTGAGAACTTACACATCTAGTATCTTCAATGATGATGACTAAGTCTATTGACATGACAGAGTTAGAGTAGTGTATTAATTATAATATTAGTAAGCTTACAGATTACATTCCTGAAACAAGTGAAACACTATTTTAAATAGATAACAAACCTTAATCTCTCAACCCTCCGTTTTTCGAGATAAGAGATGATGCCATTACCTTCAATGTAACACATGCGGGAGCGATTCGCACCCGGCATTTGTAATCAAAATTGACAATATTTTTAATCAAAAAAACGATTGGTTATTGTTATTTATAATATTTCTGCCACGCCTGACTACAATTAAGCATATAATTCTACCTGAAACGGGTACAAATCCCCTCGTTTTAAATCAAAGCGACAGTAGATTGCTTTTTCCGACATTTTAAATTTATGTCTGTAACACACAAAGATGGGGCCTCGTGTGCAATAGCCAATCAAAGTACCCATCTGATCAGAGTTGTGCAGTAGTAATACAGCGTAATTATGAACGTCTGAATCAATTTTGATAAAAACAATGCTTGATTTACTTTATTGTCAATATTTGCTGATAAATGAATGTTGTTTCAGTAGATTGGACTGCGTATGTGTAATAAGTACTAATAGTATAAAATTAACTTATTTTTAAGATGGTACATACATTAATAAAGAAATTGAGTTTGCCACTTGGAACTAAAAGCATCCAATCGTAGCCAAAAACAAGCACATCAGTATATCTCAGCGTTTTTAGTTACGTTCTCGTAGCTACATTTTAAACAGTTGTCAATTTTCGATATTTGGTTGGTGAGCTATAAATTTTTTGCAGTTTGGACATGGAGAGGGATTCCTTACGTAAGTACGTAAGGGAAATTTCAAAGCTGAAGTCAGATTTATTTACACTTTTTGATTCAATTTCTCCCATTTTGGGTACCAAAGAATAGAGAATTAGTAGAAGTAGGATACACTCAGTGACTTAACATAGTTGATAGCTAATTTATGATCTGATTTAGTAGTTCTCTGTAAATGCATCAATGCTAGAATTATCCTTCTTCATTCCCAAAGATAATAGCCAGCTTGAAGGCACAATGATATTACAAATTACATTGATACAGTTATTACAAACATAATCCTGTACAGGTAGACTGTATTATGTTTTTTTTTCCAGCTATAAGAAGCTCCTATCGGTTTTTGAAGTGTATAACATGGACCTCTATATAACAATATATAAGCTTTTAAAAAATGCATTACTGAAACATATTATGATAGTTGGGTAGACTATGTAGAGGTACCATGTACCTTATTATTATTAACCAATAATTTTTTTTATTTTAATTTTGTTTAGCCTCCAAAAAAGAAGAAGAGTGGTAAGAAGAAGGGTGGAAAGAAATCTGGAAAGAAAGCGAAAACCCCAACAGTTATAGATGGCGTACCTACAGAAGAAATGTCTAAAGAACAGGTATAGATACATATAATGATACAGTACATGTATGCAAGTTTTCTAAATTTGTGCATTAGATTGACTTAATAATTATCTTCAAATCCGAGTACAGACGGGGGAAAAACTCTCAGACCTGTTTCTCATTTGATATGTTTTATCTTTAGAATTAAATTATAATGTCCTGGCAAATTGCCTCATGTGGGTTTTGAAATTGTTAAAGTGAGACATTGCTTCATTCATTTTATAAAAACCCCAATATTTTTCTAGTAAAAGTATATAATAAAAATGGCACATTATATTATCCCCCCCCCCCCCACCTTATAGGTTGTAAAAGTAACCAAAATAGAACAATCATCAAAAACTTACTTGAAAACAATACAATGCTGTAATGTAAAATGGGGTAACTTGAGACACATGGAGTTAACTTTGAAACTGTCATGTTTTTGTTTTTATGTCATTTTGGAATAATAGTCTTCGCCAAGTAGTAATATGTTGGTATGGTATGATCACCCAGGCATTAATTGGTGCTTAGCAATCACCTACGATATCACTACTTATGTGACACCATCTTGTTCAACAGCTGCTGCTACATCCTGAATTACCGGTACATCATATTCCTGAAGCAATGGCCCAAGAAATCCCTCTCTGGCCATTGCCGGGTTGACTTATCTATCCCAAGTACAGCAACATGACAGCCCTTCGTTTAATCTGGGCTGGGGTCTTCTCTAAAACTTTGGACAGTGATTTAAGGTATTAAAACGATGAAAGTACATTGTTCGTCTCCAAACAGTATTGTTTATTTGTACACGTTGATAGCCTAGTTTGTCACGCAATTAGTTTTTCTGCAATATTCTGCTATGCATTGGTTAATCGTGCGTAAATATTTTGTGAGTCGTGATGTAACGTTGTGTAAACAATGCAGTGCTCTGTTTATACCCGAATGACATAGACATTGGTTGTTAATCGGACTATTGACCAGTCATAATTTAGAACAGTAATTTGCTTTCGTTATACAAAATCATTATCAAAATTACCCTAAACACGTGCTATTGTAATTACGATGCCAACTACATCAAATTTTGTATAAACAAAAAGAATTGATTCTGCATTCTGCTTGACAGAGAATGAAGTAAGTTCTCTAAAAATAAAATAAAATAAAATAAAAAGGTTGGGGTGATGAATAAAGTGCACAATGTCTGTAAAAGTGATAATGATGGTGTTGTAATAATGAATGATTCTGATTCAAATGATGATATGAGTTTGTTGTATCATTTTATCAACGTCAAAAAAATCACTCCCTGAATTTTGAAAAACAAAAACTGTCAAAAGTTACCCATATCATAAGGTAACTTTGACATGTAAGCATCATATGATGAATGACATTTTTTTATGCGTCCACATTTTCGTGTGGACGTATTATGCTGTCGCCCCTGGCCATCCAGACGTCCGCCCACAATTTGTTTGTGGACACTCTACAGGTCGCAATTTTTATCCGATTTCAACGAAACTTGAAATGTAGGTTTATCTTCCTAAGATCTCGGTTCCTTTCAAATATTAGCATGTATCGGACCTTAACTTCATGGATTGTGGCCCCTGATTGTACGAAAATCACGTTTTTAGTTTGTGGACCCTATAGAGGTCACAATTTTTATACTCCCACATTTTCATGTGGACATATATTGTCGTCGCCCCTGTCTGTCCGTCCGTCCGTCCACAAGTGTTTGTGGACACTCTACAGGTTACAATTCTTATCCGATTTTGACGAAACTTGAAATATAGGTTCTTCTCCAAAAGATCTTGGTTGCTTTCCATATTGGCATGTATCGGATCGAAACTTCATGGATTATGGCCCCTGATTGTACGAAAAATCACGTTTTAGGATGGTTTAGTTTTTAGCTTGTGGACCCTATACAGGTCATAATTTTTATGCGATTTAAAAAAAAAAACGTTTGAGTATATCACCGTTACACCCTAAGGGTGGTTGAGTTCGAATTTCTTTCGTAAAAATCGGACCAAAACCGACAGAAAAAATGACCGTCCCTCGTACTCAAATATCGTAAAAATATGATATATCAAGGTTGTGGACTCTCTAGAGGTCACAATTTTCTTTCCGATTTTGATGAAACTTGAAATGTAAGTTTATAACCCAAAGATCTCGGTTCCATTCTATGTTCGTGCATATTGGACCATAACTTCCTGATTTATGGCCCCTGGATATACGAAAAATCGTTTTATTTAGCTTGTGGTCCCTCTGGAGGTCACAATTATTATCCGATTTTAAAAATCGTTTGATTATATCACCATTACACCGCAATGTTGGTTGACCTAGAATTTTGTGAAAATCAGACCAAAACTGTCGGACAAAATGGCAGCCGCTTGTACACGAATAGTGTAAAAATATGGTATATCAAGATTGTGGACGCTGTAGAGGACACAAATTTGATCCGATTTTGATGAAACTTGAAATGCATGTCTATAACCCAAAGATTTGGGTTGCTTTCGATATTTGCGCATATCGGATTGTAACTTCCTGAATAATGGCCCCTGATTGTACGAAAAATCGCATTTTTAGCTTGTGGTCCCCCTAGACGTCACAATTATTATCCGATTTTAAAAACCGTTTGATTATATCCCCATTACACCGTAATGAAGGTTGACTTCAAATTTCGTGAAAATCGGACCAAAACTGCCGGACAAAATGGCCGCCCCTCGTATGCAATTTGTGTAAATATGTGGTATATCAAGGTTGTAGACACTCTATAGAGACCACAATTTTTTTCCGATTTTGATGAATCTTGAAAGACATGATTATAACCCACAGATCTTGGTTCCTTTCGATATTTGCACATATCGGATCGTAACTTTCTGAATTATGGCCCTTGATTGTACAAAATTTAGAGGTCACAATTTTTATCCGATTTAAGAAAAACGTGTGAATATATCGCCGTTACACACTAAGATCTTGGTTCCTTTTGATATTCGCGCATATCCGAACGTAACTTCCTGGTTGTTCGAAAAATCACATTTTGAGCTTGCAGATTCTCTAGAGGTCACAATTTTTTTCCGATTTTAATAACTGTTTAAATATATCAACATTCCACCATAATGTCATTAATGAAGGTTGAATTCAAATTTCGGGAAAATTGAAATGAAACTGCCCAACAAAATGGCCGCTCTTTGTACGCAAATTGTGTAAAAGTATGTAATATGAAGGTTGTGGACCATCTAGAGGTCATAATTTTTATCCGATTTTGATGAAACTTGAAATGTATGTTCATAACCCAAAGATCTCATCTCCTTTCTATATTCACGCATATCGAACCATATCTTCCTGGATAATGGCCCCTGATTGTACAAAAAACAACATTATTTCTCTGTCCATCCTTTGCAAAATGTGGGCGTGTCTTGCATGGCAATCGCTTGTTTGTTAATGCAGTGAAATAAATACAATACAGTAACTGCATGAGAGTTAGTAGTTTACAAGTATCTATTCCATACATTTATTAATAAGAAACATTAGGTACCAAAATTTGCACTTTGATCTTCAGTAATATCAAAGATGTGTCAAAGTTACTCCACTTTACCTTACTCCATAACAAGAAATAGTGCATATAAATGTATTCAGCAATAAAATTAGTTTTAGGGAGAAATATACACAAAAGGTGACCGTGATATTAATTTGCTGTAGGTAAGATAGAAAGAAACATACAAATCACAAGTTTTCAGATTTTAAAAAAAAAACCTGACATTGTTTCAGCTGGAAGAGCATATTGCTCGATTACGTGAAGAATTGGAGCGTGAAAGAGAGGAGAGAAATTATTTCCAATTGGAAAGAGATAAAGTTAATACTTTCTGGGAGATTACAAAGCGTCAGTTGGAAGAAAAGAAAGCTGAACTTCGTAATAAAGACAGAGAAATGGAAGATGCAGAGGAAAGACATCAAATTGAAATCAAGGTATAATGATCTCTAAACATCTGTTGCACTGTCATATTCACAACACTTTTAAATTTGATGTGACTATACTATTTTTTGTAAGAATCTTTTAACTTTTAAGGGTCTTCTCAATTAGAAGAGTTTTTGCAAAAAAGTGAACAATGAGTGATGTTTTATTGAAATAACTGGATATTTTGATTGTTTTAAAATATGACAAATGATTTAAATATTTTGCAATAATAATTCACTCTTACTCTTTTTTTGTACAATAGGTCTACAAGCAGAAAGTGAAACATCTGCTGTATGAACACCAGAACAATGTGTCCGAATTAAAGGCTGAAAGTGGTGTATCACTTAAACTAGCACAGGATGAACATGAGGGTAATGAAACTGATTTAAGAAAAGACAAGCGGGCCCTTAAAGTTCATCTTAAAGAGCAAGAATTGGCTCATGAAGATGTCATCAAAAATTTGAAACGGGTAGGTGAATTCTAAATGGATAATAAAGTAAGCTTAATAGAAATAGTGATGTTACAATTACTCTTTGACAGATAACTGAGGATGTAGATGGGTCCACATACTACACATAGAAATCCAATAAACAAGAGTTCAGATAACAATATTCCCAGATACAATGATTATGGGACACTTTTAGAAATGGATGATTGTTTATGTTTCACTTTAAAGTTTTATTGCCGCAAAAATGTTATCAATATTTGGTTTCCTCATGTCAGTGGTGCATGGGCTGTCAGGAAACAGCATCTAATCATTCCAAGGAGCAACAGGGGATCTAGGTATACATTGGGGTGCATTTTAAAGAACCTTTGACACTGGAATTTGAAATGAGAGTAGGTCTGAGCAGGCTTTTCGAGCAAAATGTCCCTCATAGAGCATGCTGTATGCCCGTCTTAAATAATTCATTTGTTGCAGAGAAACCATTTCATTTCTTTATATTCTGTTCTGATTTTTCTAAAAAATATTATTTTTGAATATGTTATATGGCTCTATAAAAATTAATTTTTATCAAAAAATATTCTTTCAGTCTAATGATGAAGAAGTCACAAAATTGAGAACAGATTTTGAACGACAGGCTCGAGAAATTGAAGCTAAATATGAAAAGAAAATGAGGACATTAAGAGATGAATTAGATCTAAGGAGAAAAACAGAAATTCATGAAATTGAGGAACGTAAAAATGGACAAATTAACACCTTAATGAAAAATCATGAGAAAGCGTTCAGTGACATTAAAAATTATTATAATGACATTACATTGAATAACCTGGCATTGATAAATACACTGAAGGTAAGTTGTTATAAACTGTGAAATACTGAGACCTTGTACACATGAAATTAGTTTAGACTAAAAGACATTAGCCTATCCTGGCTAAATTCACGCATGTGGTTTATGCATGCTGCACTTGTGTTGACAAGCCATTTAATTCAATATGCTTCTTTATTCAAATAATGAAGAAAAGGAATTTATGTGGAAAAGTTTGGGTTTTTTTTACTCATTAAAAAAATAATTTTGCAAAATAGATATTAATACATATTGTGCATTGCTAAAAGAATTATTTTAAAAACTTAGATTTTTCTATACTATTTATCATAGAAATATACTGACAATTGAAATTAAGGGAAATGGAGATTATTTCTAGTATAAAAAAGATAACCCATAGGGATTCTCGAAGATTAATAACACTTACAGTACTAATCTAAAATTATTGTTGAAGTAATATTGCCATTTTAACAAGAAACTTTCATACCGAAATATTTTTTTTTAGGAACAAGTAGAGGATATGAAGAAAAAAGAAGAAAGGATGGAAAAACAAATGGCAGAAGTTATAACAGAGAACAAGAGATTAACAGAACCATTACAAAAAGCTAGAGAAGAGGTGGATGACCTCAGGAAACAATTAGCTAATTATGAAAAAGATAAAGAAACTTTAAGGGTGATTATTTCCAATTGTTTTTGTAGACTTTACAGCTTAGTCTATATCATCAATTCATATTTTGCTGTCCTTAAAATAAACTAAATATGACATCAGATGCTTTGTAACTTTATTGCACTGATCTGGTAAAATGGTATTAAAAATGTTCATACTTTGTAAAAAATATACATCCGTTTAATTTAGATATATAAATAGAATAAAGCAGATAATGAGTAGCCTCTATAACTTAACAAGGAATACAAAGTATTTATGTTGCCCTAAAAAAATAACGCAAAAAAAAAAAACCGACAGAAAACTGGATAACTTAATTAGTTGTTGACACATTCCTTTTATACAACTGATCTATGTTAAGCATTTATCTCTAATTGGGTGAATGATAAATAAATGGCCCATATCAAATTATTCTACAATAGTAGCATAAATTGATGTAAATTAATTGGTTACATTCATGATTTTGTTTATTTTCCTCTCCAAAAAGATGACAAAAGCTAGATTAAAGGTAACAGAGGAAGAATTCCGAGCTTTGAAGTGGGAACATGAAGTGCTTGAACAAAGATTCCAGAAGGTTAGTGTACATTTTTTTTTTTATTAGAGTTGTGTCCCTTATGTTATAAAGTTAACATGTCTTGACAATAATAGTGAATAGAGAAAATAGGCTGATTTTTGGATAATATAACCCATTATGTATAACACATTAATTTTTCACCTTTATAATTATTATCAAAGGATGACTTGGAACATTGTTGTTCTGATGAAAATTAAGTTTATGCGATTGATTTTCTATCGATGAAGTGATGTGTTCTGATAGACTTTGTGATTACAAGTACTACTGAATAATAACTTACTGACATACTTACTTTCTTATTTAGACTCAAGCTGAAAGGGATGACTTGTACAGGAAATTTGTCAAAGCCATTCATGAAGTACAGCAAAAGAGTAACTTCAAAAATCTCTTGTTGGAGAAGAAGTTGTCTGCCTTGGCTGATACATTAGAAAAGAAAGAAGCTCAACTCAATGAAGTATTATCTGCCTCTAACCTTGATCCTACAGCTTTAACGGTAGTCACACGCAAACTAGAGGTAAATCTTAATCTAAGTTAAACAATCCTTGTTTATCCCATTGAAATGAACAAAAATGTATTAAGAAAAACCAAGCTATAAGGAAGTCTTTGTGAAATAATATGGCTATTTATACAGTAGATTTATGTCCCTAAAGTAATCTATGAAGGAAAAAAATTAAGTATTTAAAATTTTAAGCACATGCTATTATTGTATTTAACATATTTTACTAATGTTTTTAAGGATGTCCTTGATTCCAAAAATAGTGCCATTAAAGATCTACAGTATGAATTGGCTAGAGTTTGTAAGGTAAGGGAAAAGCAAATTATTTCTTTGATCCAACACTGATGCTTTAGATCATAATGTCATGCCATTCTGTCAAGTGGCACAGTTTTGATCTCATGCTTTTACATGATAAACCTAGGTTGCCTGCCAAACATTGATTTTCAATGATTTCCAATAATTACCATCTAAGTTTTGGCCCTTGATCAATTTGAAAAATCTTATCAATGTTATAGAGGCTGAAGTTATTATCCAATTGACTTGGAATCTATACACTGTGTATTTCATGGGATGAAGAATCCTGTTGATTATCAAAGATATCCATAATTACTATGTGAGTTATAGCCCTTGATCTCTTGTGGCTGATCTTGAGGCTATCGTCCTATTGACTTGACATTTATATGCAGTGTTTATGTTAATGAGGTGAAAAAGCTCTAAAGCGGTGGACACACTAGCTGAATGATTTGGCCGAATCAATCGGCGTTTCGGCGTCAGAATTCGCCTAGTGTCTCCACTGTCATTCGGCCGAATGATTTGCTCAAATCAAACAGGTTTGATATATTCCGACGAATTATATTCGCCTGGTGTGTCTGCTTTTCGCCGAAGCATTCGGCCGAATGTAGAATTCATTAGCCAATCACCAATCATCATCCACTCATATCGAGAAGTCACATGATTGTTTGAAGACATAGACGCCGCCATGTTTAATCATGTGACGTGAAAGGGGATGCAATCGACTGGTGAATCGTACGAAGCATTCGACTAGTGTGTCCACCCTTTCGTCCGAATAAAATTTGGCGCCGATTGATTTGGCTAATGTGTCGACTGCTTAAAGGCTTAAGGTATTATCCGATTGACACACTGTTTAAGATCCATGAGACGAAGGAGCATATTGAGTGTCATCAAATTCTGATATTTACTGCCAAGAGTTATGGCCCTTAATTTCTCTTCACTATCCCGTCTGGTTCTGATTTTTTGCAGTCGGTTCCGATTTTTGACAACACTTTTGTTACGATATTGTTCCGTTTTAATTCAAGCACCTTGTTTCAAAAGCGTAATATCCTAAAAAAAATCATTAATTTTTTCCGGACGAATTTCTAACTGGTTGACTCCAAAATATCTATCCATAACTTTAAAATCTGCTAACCGGATGTCAGCGATGTAAACATTAACAGTATGGTATCGTAGACTCAAGCGAACGAGAACGATTGAACGAGATCGCCTGTCTCTGTGTACAAGTAACATAGAGTTTCTCTATCGTACCATATCTATGATTACATAATCGTCGTCAATTCTTTCGCACTATGGCTAAGGTCGTAGATCGAGATGTTGACACCAAAGTACATGTATTAGACAAAGGACTTTAAGTTGTATGGAAGTGGAAATGATTGGAACGGAAGGTGGAAGGCGAGCTTGTGAGATGTTCTATTCGTAAAGTCAATGTCCGAAGAGTCGTGAATTATTAATATTAATTACGGTCGGAGGGAGGGGGATGGGGAAGTTTAGAGCAACACATTCTAGTCTAGAGAATTATACAGGGACAATCAAAAGATCGGATCCGTAGTTCAAACATTATTTTTTTTGTTAGTAAGTATTCTGTAAATGGAAGAGAAATAAATTAAATATAAGTTAAGCCAAAATTTGTAGTAAATTAGTAGACAAATACAAGAATTTTAAAATTCTTTATCAGAACCCCCACCCCCCCTTACTTTAAAATCGCCTTTGTTAGTAAGTATTCTGTAAATGGAAGAGAAATAAATTAAATATAAGTTAAGCCAAAATTTGTAGTAAATTAGTAGACAAATACAAGAATTTTAAAATTCTTTATCAGAACCCCCCCCACCCCCCCTTACTTTAAAATCGCCTTTGGCCCCATAACACGCTGGCGTTGCCCCTGGACACGCCCCCCCCCCCCCCTCCCCGCGATTTTTTTTCAGATTTTTTTTCCAACAGCTAAAATCATGTCTGTAGTAAATTACTGAACTTGAATTTGAATTATTTAATAACTGTTTTCGTTTTCTTTCTAGGCACACAATGATTTACTAAGGACATACGAGAGTAAATTAAATCAGTTTGGTATACCAACAGAAGAATTAGGATTTAGACCTTTAGAAAGTACAGTTGGGGGTCAAGCTTTAGGTCAAGGTCCGGCAGGTCTTGTGTCAGCTCCATCCTAGTTTATCAATGACTAGCTCTGTTTTTTAAAAGTGTTCACTAAGAGAAGATATTGTTGGCCAGAATGAAGTAAAATTTTACTTGACAATATTAATTTAAGAAACTATTCTATAACTTATTCACTTCTCTGATGTCAAAATATTTAAGATTTATATTTGAAAGAAATGTTTCTGTACCTAATCCCCATATCTCATGGATTGTCATTTTTATATTCCAACATTTCATGCAAGAGTATACTGTCATTTTTAAATGCTCTGAGGTTAGTTTCTGAGATTTTTTGTCAAAACTTGCTGGGATTGTCCAATATTCGTAGATTTCCTGTTCCTAGAACCACTTTTTAAACATTGGGCTTCATCAACTACTCCCAAGGAGAAACCCTAGCAAAATTCAGTCACATGAGATCTGTCATCTTATAAAATGCTCTATGTTAAGATGAATGAGATAGTTCTGCTAATCATAAAGAATAACTCTAATGAATTTCAGACCCATCCATTAAATGGCCCTTAGCCCTGAAATTAAATCTTTTAAAATGCTGCTGGTGGCCATATATTCTTTGTCTGGCACATTTTAACAGAGCTAGTCACTGTTATCAAATATTTGTACATTCATCATAATGAATCCAATTTTTCACATTGTCATGAAGTGTTTTATTTTAAATACATTTACTGCATGTCATAAAGTGTTTTATTTTAAATACATTTACTGCAGGTATTCCTTGATATTGTTTTTAGAAAATCCAGATATTTAATATGTACATAGACCTGTATTGAAATGGCTCTTAGAATATTTTAAAGAATATTATAAATTTTACCGTCCAAATGTTTAAGAATTGTAAAAAAGTAAAAACAAAATAAGAATTTAAATCTAAAAGTCTAATCAATGGTGTAGATTTTATGTGGACATTCATATTTATTATGTATCTACTACTTATTTATCTGTGATATAATAAATTATAATCTGAATTTTATTGTTGCTATATCGTGACATGGTGTTTTATTGAAAGTTGGGGGTTGGTTAGGCAAGTGGTCCAGTGGTCGAACATGTGTGCTTTTAGATCATAAGACTTGTCATTGAGTCTGATAACATGGTTTCAATCCCTCATGGAGCAGGGTCATTTGTCCAATCTCTTGGGTTTTCTCCACGACAACCAGTTTCCTTCCACTGCTAAAGACACTACACACAATCAAATTATTGAAATAAAATTGAATCAATATCATAGTCCCCAAATGACCTAGTTTATGTTGAGAGGATGTTAAACCCCAATTATATCCTTCGAGCTCTTATTAAAAGCTACAACAGTCTTGTTTTAAAATGATTAAACTTCTTTGAATTAATGTCAATTTAATTAGGTATGATAGGATGATTTACTTTGTGAAGTGGGTATCTGTTTGCATTTAAACTTTTCAGTAAAGATAGACTAGATTTTGTATTGCGATCGACTGTCTAAGCCCCCAAAAAACTAATATCGGGAATCTAAATGATTAGTCTCCAAATAGATTTTGAACTATAACTGATCAAAACAAAAAATCATATCAACTTAATTCAACAATTTATTTTAATCTAAACCCAGATGTCTAATTAGCTCCTTCAAGGTAATTTCAATGTTGTATTTCGAAAATAAGTATATAACTAATACAACTCCCTTTGCAAATACAGTATAACAAGTATCGAATGTAAGCCTATTGTAGTTATCTTGTAAATCAATGATACTGACAAACATAACACCCCTCAAAACAATACAATGCAGGATCAAAAGCAATCTGTTTCACAGAGTATTACGAAAATCTTCTAATATCTCTGTAAAAGATGACTGGCTTCAACAAATGACGTCATATCACGCGGCGTCGATCATTGGCTCAATGACGCGTGCATTGTTTACATAAGACGTTACAGATTCGAGCAGAATAATGTCGCCTAAGTTTTACTCATTTTAATACCCATTTACATTAAAATAGCAAATAATTTTTACCTACATATACTTCAAACGTCTTTATTTATTTTTCTAATACATAAAAAAATGTTTTAGAATTTAATTTGTCGGAGGAAAAAAGTTAATATTTGTGACCAATTAAGTCGCATCGATGTCATTCTTATCTGCACAGAGTATTATCAGTGCTTGTCGCGGCCTAGCGAATATTCACTGTGGATTCAAAGGTGGAAAACACAAGTTATTGTTCTGTTGTAAATAGTGTCTTGTGTTAAAATTACAAGATGTACTAAAGAAAAACCCGAAATGTAAGTTTATTGGAGTAATATTTTGACAGGGCTAGCCAGCCACAATGATGGCAGTTTGCAAAATTCATTGTATGGATGATTTTACCACCAATTTGTTAAAAAGGAAAGTCCTTAAGTTATGCAACTAAGAACTTTAAAGATTGTATCAATCAAGATCTAATCCACTTAAAATCTGTATAGAATCCATATGGTAGACTCGATCCTTTTTCTATTAAAAGACTTAACTTACATATTTTCAGCCGATTGATGCTAATTGGAGCTTAGAAGCTTTTAAACTTTTAACATTAATACAATGATCTGATAAAAGGATAACAAGAAAAGGTATGCCAGCTTGGTCGTTTTTAAGAAGCCCTGATCTTTAAAACTAGGACTTCTTACACCCACTAAAGGTATTAGTATTGTTTCTTTTAAACTTATTAAAAGGTCAGATTTTCACCCCCCCCCCCTATTTTCTTGTTCATACAAACAGGACTTGTATGTGAATGTCATGTCCTTTCTAAATGGCGTATATAGCCCTACTCTTCGGAACCTTAAACGAAAATTGGTCTAAAAGCACATATTAATTTAATATTAATGTATAGAAAGTGATTTATATTCAATTTTTAACAATTGTAATTTCTAGTCAATTATGTTCGGTGAAAATGAAATACGTGAACAATCGAAATTGATCGACAGTCGTTTACACCGGCTTAATCTACATAAAACGTTGTTTTTTTTTGTTGGAGGGGGGTTGGATGGTCGAATGGTTAGCACATGCGTGCTGTATCATAAGGCCTGTCATTGAGTCAACTGGCGTGGTTTCGAATCCCCGGTCGTACGTGACAAGGAGTAGGGTCGCCTGTCCAACCTCGTGGGTTTTCTCCGGGTCCTCCGGTTTCCTCCCACTGCTAAAGACCCCTGTTCATGTAATTTTGAAATAAAATTAAAACCGTATGTTAGTTCCGAAATGACCTAGTTTGTGTCGAGTGGACGTTAAACTCTCTCTCTCTCTCTCTCTCTCAATACAGATGTAACCATAGAATACACGACTCTTGTACAGATTATAAACTGTTCGTTGTGTCTTATATATTGGATATTACGTCCGATATTTTCACGGCAAGATAACACCACCGATATTGATTGAATAGGGCCAATATTGAATTCTAATTGGGTTTTTTTTTAATTTCGAAAAATATGGAAATTAATGGTTGTTATCTATAGCTTTAGTTGTGTGGCGGTATACTAGATTCAAATTTCTAACCTGCTGTCGTCTAATTTCGTCTGTTCATGTAATTTTTAACTTCTATTCATGTAATTTTTAACTTTTTAACTTCTATTCATTTAATTTCTAACTTCTATTCATGTAATTTCTAACTTCTATTCATGTAATTTTTAAATTAAGACAGTGTATTATAATCCAACTTCTTTATTATAATCCAACTTCTTTATTTGTTCAGTGTAAATGTTAATTCTATTTCATCATATACTATTCAAAAAAAGTAGGGGATATTTGATTTTGGGGGCATAATACTAAAATATGCAAATGACTACGAAAAAAGTCACTATAGAACCTAACAGAAGAAACATTTCCAGTTACATGTGACGCCCAAACGCACCAATAGCTACCGCATGGAATGCAGGTGATGCTTGGGATCATCATGGGGGTCCAACCCAAGATTTGCACGACTCTGACTTTGAATGTTACAGTCATTGTGGCATTGAATTCCAGGGTGGAAACATCAGTTTAATTGTTTTAGTGACCAGAAAACAAATTTTGATATGCGTCGGCTTACCCAAAATGAAAGGTTACGTGCCCTTGGCATGCTACAGATCGGCACAACACAGGCGGTTGTGGCGCGGACGATGAATGTTTCTCAGTCTGTCATAAGCAGGCTATGGTCCAGATACCGTGATACACAATCTGTACAGGACAGACCACGCTCAGGTCGACCAAGGGCGACAACTCAAGCCCAGGATCGATTTATCCGTACCTTGGCCTTGAGAAATCGTGTCATCACAGCAAATCAGATCAGCGCTCGTCTTCAAACAGACACTGGTGTGAGAGTGAGTGGCCAGAAGATTCGGAATCGACTGCATAGGGGTCACCTTCGCGCCCGACGTCCTCGCGTGATCCCTTGTTTGAGAGATCATCACATTCAGGCAAGACGTCGTTGGTGTAGGGATCGTCAACACTGGGATAATCGACGCTGGAGCAATGTGATGTTTTCAGATGAGTCAAGGTTCACTGTTGATTTTTTGGACAGACGTAGGAGGGTGTGGCGTCGTCGAAACGAGCGCTTCCAAGACGTTAACGTCATCAGACATGATCGATTTGGGGGTGGTTCTGTTATGGTGTGGGGAGGCATCACTGTTGCTGGAAGAACGGCTTTACATGTTGTTGCAGGGCGTGCCGTTTGCACGACGTCATGGCCGCCGTTTCATCTTCCAGGATGACAACGAAAGATGTCACAGGGCCAGGATCGTTACAGGTTACCTCCAACAACAGAACATCACCACATTACCTTGGCCAGCACTGAGTCCCGACCTCTCCCCCATCGAGCATGTCTGGGACATGCTTGGACAGAGGTTACGTCAACGTCAACAACGTCCTGCCAATGTCCAAGAACTTGCTGCTGCGTTGCAACAGGAATGGGACAATCTGGACCAAAATGACCTTAGACGTCTCATTAGGAGTATGCCACGTCGGATCAATGCTTGTTTGGCAAACAGAGGAGGATTTACCCGTTACTGACTTGGTTGTGATGCTGTGGTAACTTTGCTGTTTGACCCCGGGTATCATTTTACCCTTATAATGGTCAGTCTGTGCCTTACTTAGTCTAACGATCATTTGGAATAAATCGATGAATGTGAACTTCATTTCATTTTGTCATTTGTTTCTTCGTCAGTTTCATTAGGTGACTTTAATAACACTTAAAAATCAAATATCCCCTACTTTTTTTGAATAGTATATTTCTATTTCTTACACGTTTACACTTCTGCCTATATAGCAACTTCATTATGAAGTCGTTTGGTTGGTGTCGCCACTGCAGGGGTCCGATTCTTAGAAAATTCTTAAGCACGTTCTTTTGCCTAGATTTTAAGTAGACATTGCATTTAAGTAAACTTATCTTATTTTGTGTTCCCAGAAGAACGTTCTTGTGCTTAGATACAAGCACGTTAATGTGTTCCAAGAAAAAACTTAAGCACAACTTCGTTGTTAATGTGATTCTGTAATATAAGTATTTGAACAACATCGTACCGCCGAACAAATAATTTTAATTCAGCACGATTTCAGAAAAATAAGACAAATTCAATTATAACATGCCGAAATTTTTTCACTATCCATGCCATTGTAAACATGAAATTCCGGAGATTTTTTTTTTAAAAAACGAAATACTAATATACATAGAAACAAATATCGATGCTAAATTAAATACATGGTATTATTTTTTTTATAAATATTTAAAACCTGCGGTCTTGTATTCTCTGTCTGTGATCATTACATTTGTCAATCAGATCACTGCTCAAAATTCATTTCAGCACGCTGTTAATCGTAAATGTAAGTGTGTGAAATCACTTTATTTAACGTCCGCTTCCACCAAAATGATATCGCAGACAAAATGTTGCCTTATAGTACGTAGATTTTATCACTTGTCAACGCATTTGGAGTCAATTGTTAAAATCACACTGGGCATGCTCACTAGGCCTATTATGTATTCCTTAAATCTACTAGTTTATTGGGCCAATAAAATAATCAACAACTTTATTTTAACTACAGACATCTAAACACCAATTTGCATTAAGTCTGTCTGGCTATATTGTCTGAGTAATTAAGACTTTTTATGGAGTTCAATTTTTAAAAACACAAAATATTTATTGACGGTACATATTACTTGTGTTAATTATATGAAAAAAAAACCACAATATTTTATAAATCTTTTTGCTTGTGTTAATGCAATAAAATGAACACAAGTTTGTGTTGATGAAATGCAAAACAACACAAATTTGTGTAGAATAATTTTCACACAAGTACTTTTTTTTTCAGTGAAGACCGCGCAAGCTGTTTAAGTCAAAGGCCAAGAAGCACTGACTTTCGCCCGTGAAAGAAGACATCAACATTTGTGACTAGATATTCCTGTTGACCCAGGCCCGGCGGAGTTGGGGGGCTAGGGGGGCTTTAGCCCCCCCCCCCCCTATAATTTGGCCGCAAGTACTCTTTTCTCCAGGTTATTGCGACCCCTGGACCCACGCCTATACGGACCTGGGATGGAAGCCCCCCCCCCCCAATCAAGAATTGCTTCCGCCGGCCCTGTGACCTGTTCACTAAACCTGCTTCTGAATACTCTGAATACCAAAAGAAGTTTTCAACCACTCAGTATTTTTATGGGCCGAAAGCCTACAACTAGAAGCAAGATCAACTTACCACACCAATCCACGATTAGAAGGTAATTACATTTTCTCCATTCATATCTTACAAAATGTTGGTGTATCTTGCGTGAGAACTGCTTGCTTTTATTGCTTCTACATTTGTCAGTATTTTATTTTACATTTTGTACTTGGAATATTGCCATTTATTGTCAGAATATTATTATGAAATGTAAAAATAATTAAATTTAGAATTTGTCGGAAGTCTGTATGATCAAGGACTCTATTTTGAATTAATTATTGGCAAAATTTCATAATAATAACAAGTATTATAGATTTGTGATTTTCTCAGTTTTTAAAATTAAGGATTTATTGCTTTTGTTTTACTAAAGAAAATATCTTTGTGTTTTTTAATTGTTGTTTCTTTATAACTAATTTTACCTTTACAGTTTATTTCAGACTACCACACTGATCAGCAGTGAATGCGACTTAATGAGCCAGAAATATTAACTTTTTTCCTGCGACAAATTAAATTCTAAAACATTTTTTTTTATGTACTGGAAAAATAAATAAAGGCGTTTGACGTATTTGTAGGTAAAAGTTATTTCCTATTTAGTGTAAACGGGTATTAAAATGACTAAAATGCAGCATTCCGCCCAAACCCGTAACGTCTTATGTAAAACAATGCACACGTCATTCAGCCAATGATTGACGCCGCGTGCTGTGACGGCACGTGTTAAGGCAGTCATCTTACTAGACTCGTAATTCTCTGTGAAACAGATTGCCAGACTACACCAAACTGAAGCTTATCAATTATTCTATTTGTTTGAATGAATAGACACACATTATTATAATTTGTTGAAATTAATTTGTAGTCAGTTCATAAAGTTAAAAAGATTTCACGTTGTGGGATTAACTAATTTAGCACTACAGGGACCATGTGTAAGAGAAAAGTTAACAAGAACTGTACTTCTTCAAAATCAGTAGAATTATTAACTTTGTTAATCTCTATGTTTGACAAAATATAAATGTTTGAAATACTGTGTCGTATGTAGCATTGTCATATTAGTTATAATGCCGGATTCGTGTAACCTGTATAGGGGTTTGAGTCAACTGCTGTGGTTTCGATTCCACATTTGTACGTGACAAGGAGTAGGGTCGCCTGTCCAACCTAGTGGGTTTTCTCCGAGTCCTCCAGTTTCCTCCCACTGCTAAAGACTCCTGTGCACAAGCGAACTAGTCAAATAAATTGAACAATATGTTTGTCCCGAAATGACCTAGTTTGTGTCGAATGGACATTAAACCCTCCCTCTCTCTCTCCTCTCTCTCTCTCTCTCTCCTCTCTCTCTCTGTAACCTGTATAATTCAATTATATATTTGTTCGGTTTTTTGTTACAAAGGTATTCCCAAACTCCAAAATGCATAGACATATGATAGAAATAAGATGTTAAAATATTAGAGTAAAATATTCAACCTTTTACACAAGTCGTAATTAATCAGTTAATATATATTTGGGGGTGGCACAATTTACCCCCACATAAATCTACCAAAATCCACCATTATTTCAACTCATATTATAATAATTTATATCTATTTGATAATATCCTCTTCTTTATGTCAAATTGGCATTTTTAATTTATGATCATAACGTTTTTGTGTCAAAATGCCATTCAAAAGCGATTTCCAAGAAAATTCGGATGTTGTAACCAAATCCATCATTATTCTAACTCGTATCACAACAATTTATATCGATATTTGATAATATACTGTTCTTTATGCTAAATTGTCATTTTGAAATTAAAATCGTAACGTTCTTGTGTCAAATTATAATCAGAGTTGAAATAATGTTGAATTTGGGTACCGGTACTCGTGAATTTGGGTACATACTGCTACCGTGCATGCATTTGGCACAGGATTGTCACTTTTCAATTGAGCAATGAAGTGTAAAACCTGTGCTAAAAATAAGTCCATTCTGCCAGTCATCGTGATTCCTCCCCACACCATAACAGACCCACGCCAGAATCTGTCATGCTGTCTGACGTTAACGTTAGTATGACGTTCATTTACACGCCTCCAAACGCGAGCACGCCTATTGGTGAAATCCAGAGTAAAGCTTGACTCATCTGAGAACATTACACGCGCCCATCGACGATTACCCCTGTAACTTGGTAAGTTTATAGAAAGCTGATTGGCCGTTTGTCCTCGATTTCGCAGGACCTGTGTACGAATGTATCGATCCTGGGCTTGTGTAGTGGCTCTAGGACGACCTGAACGAGGTGTTTGTTGATACCGGTTCCACAGTCTGCTGATCACAGACTGTGACACATTAAGCACGTTGGCTACTGCTCGTTGTGTAGGACCCATTTGAAGCATGCCAATAGCACGTAGACGTTCATAATGTAGAAGACGTCTCATTGCAAATTAAACGTAACACACTAAAGCAAAGATACGCTAAATGATAAATCTTATGCAAGAACCGATAGGAAAGCAAACATGGATAGGATAAACCAGCACGCGGCAGTTTTCATCAACCCTTCCTTGAAGTGTCAAATTTGACAATGAACCCCTTCCACGTGTATGGCGCTATTGCGTATCGCACATGCAGCTCAGTGGTTCTGTTGGGGCGATAAGTTCTTCATCGGTGAACATGCTCTCAAAGCATGTCAAGTGTCCATGACTATTTTCATATCACAACCTGCATAGGTATTTGCATTTCAATATCCCCTACTTTTTTAAAGAGTATATTATGCAAGTCAGAAAAGGAGTGACGTAGGAGCGGGTCTGACGTATTAGACAAGGGGGACCCACGCCGGGAAATCTGAAGTAACTTTCTCGGCCAATGCAGGGATCGGTCGGGTGTTCGATCCCTGCATTGGCCGAGAAAGTTCATTCAGATTTCCGGCGTGGGTCATTTCGTATTAGAGCAGGTTATCCCGAAAAGTCCACAGCAATGACGTGTTAGTATAGAGTTGCATTTTTGCTTGGTATGCGTGTTGGCGCCTTCTTACTGACATCAATAAATACAAAAATATGACTAAGTCGAAAGTCGACAAGATGCTACATAAGACAAAATGCAAGTCGAAAATAAGAAATTAGGAAAAAAAAGCCCGAGGGGCGCTATTATGCGGTGTATTATTTCTTAATTCCCTATTTTCGAGTCGATTTTGGCTTGTATAGCGTGCTGTCGCCTCACATTTTGTCGTAACTTCGACTTTTCGACTTTCGCGTTCTGAAGAAATTATGAATGGTAGTTATAGGCTTCCAAAGTATAGCAACTAAACTGAATAATAAAACCACTTATAGGGGATAATATTCCTTAGAAGTACTAATAATTAAACCTGGTATGCGTGAAGTGTAAAACTTTATAATCATAATATAATTTTAAATATCCGTTTTCTTACCAGCGTCTAAAGTATCTTGTTAAACCTGATTTAGGATCTTATCTTGGTAAAAAGTTTGACATGTTGAGAAGGTTATTTAGTTACAAATTACATTAAGTAAGTATGTCTGTATACGATAAAAACTGAACACTATTAGTCTCTGTAAACAAACTTACCACGAATATAGAGCCTCTGCAATTATATTTTCAAAAGGTTCATGTTCTGCGTGAAACGTGCTGGCGCATCCGCAGTCTCTTTGTCCATAAAATGTGCAGATATGTATATACAAAAACACAAATTTCCAGACAATATTTAAAACAAAAAAATCCAAGAATTTATATAAAATAAAATCAATGACCGAGGTATGACTACAAACAAACCATTCACCAGTGTAATTGATTTTACCTTTTTCTTTCTTTGTGGATTGAAATTATTTATAGATTTACTTCCCTTAGGGAGACTTCGTTATTTTACATTTTTAAATGTAAATACATGTACAATAATACTTAAAAATGCACCTGCATTTTTGTATGTTTTTGTTTTAATTATAAATTATTATTTCAAATTGTAATGTTTTATCTCAGAAATTTTGTACTAGTAGCTAGGGCCCTCGCATGGGGGTGGGGGGTACTGAGGAGTGCTTAATCACCGGCCTTCGCTTCTCCTAAACATGTGTAAACCAGAACATATTTCAGCAAATAGAGGGGTAGAATTATGATTTTTCCAAGATATTTTATAGGATTTTTCGATGAAACGGAGAGTTGACGGGGAAATAAATATAAAAAATGTACATATAAATTAATTTAATAAATAGCCCTTTAGACAAAGTGTTAAAAGTATAAAAGATGGTATTTTAAAATTTCTTTAATCATTAAAATTCAACTGAGCGAAGACACTGAATGTTCAGCGCTATAGAAAACGATTATTATTATTATTATTTAACACAGCAGTTACAGTATACAATGGCGGATGGGGGGGGGGGCACTGAAACGTTTGCCCAGGGGCGCCACATAGGATTGTGAGGGCACTGCTAGTAGCTACCTTTCGTTCCTATATCTCATTCAATGATTATAGGCTGTGTAACTAGGTTAATCTGATTTCTTCAGGGTTGCTAATATATTTGTCGTAGGATATCCACAATAAAAAATATTCTCGTATTAATTCTGTCTGTAAAAATGTCAAGGAATGTTCATACTATAAGTAATACAACACTTGAGAACCTATAAACAACTGATCTAAATAACGGAAACCATACCCACAACGTTATCAGTACCCTGCCATAGTGTTTTTAATATATAATAGTGTATGACTGTATCTGCAGAGAGCACGAGATCACTCATTCACACCAGAAGGAATCCTCCTCCACAAAACCCGAGGGAATTGGAGGCAGCTCTTCACGAGGAGTTGCAGCGGATACCGATGGAACAATTAAGAAACCGGGTTAGGGGTATGCCAAGAAGAGTGGCAGCAGTTATTCAGGCACGTGGTGGCAGCAAACGTTACTGACGTTTTGTGATTCCTGGGACACTGATCCACTTTATTTAAGCTGCTTTTACCGGGTGGCACACACCAATACCTTGAACTGACGATACTTAAACACCCTTGTCTTTTTGATGAAATTCCATTTCAATTTCACTCTGTGTTTTCATGCACTTTTAGAGCTCATACCGTTACAAAACTTCACTTCCAAATGATCAATTAAAATTTGTTTTGCTTATCTTTTTTTTTCTCAGTTTCATACCATACTTTCATGAAGTTCACTCACCCCTCTTTGAAAAATCAGGGGGGGGGGGGGGTAACCTTTTTTGCTGTGTATATAATAGTGTATGACTGTATCTGCAGAGAGCACGAGATCACTCATTCACACCAGAGTTTAACTGTTTAAAATTTTAAATTTGGAATAGAGAATTAAATAACATATAATCTGGGTATTATAGAGATGTGTGACACTATCCTGTGTCGCGGTACCAAAAAGAAAAAACTGTGACTCTACAGTGTCGTTAAATAGACGAATTATGAATTACTTCCACGTTGTGTATACGGCCCGTGACACTAGGGTGACACTTATCTAGTCAGGACGTTCACGCTGTGCATATGATCAATTAACTCTGGAACACTGTTTACGTTAACTATGTTTTTATATCTTTATAACATCCATAATACAACGGTTATATACATGAAACTACACACACAGCTATGACATTAAATATTAGCTAAATATAAGTTCTCTACCCCCTTGCTTGTGTTTTGCGGCAGTGTTTCCCAGCCTCTCAGCCTAGGAGGCTGTGGGTATGATGTTCCCCTCTTGGGCCGCTCTATGATATCTGAAGAAAAAGTTAACCCCGCTCTTATTATATAAAGAGGATACGTGCATGAGTCATGTATTGAACCCCGGGAAATTGACCAGGTACTTTCTTTATCGGATTGGTCAGCTGCACAGACGCTACCCTGGATTTCAACACAGTGTACTTAGTTATATGGGCACCCAGGAGGGCGGCTAACCCCGTTTCTAACGCGTGGGGTTGCCATGTTTGGATTAGCAGACTATGGTGTCATTGTCCGATTTTAATCTACCAGACATATCCTTGTTAACCTAGTTCTCGTTGTCACTGGTACTAGCTAACGACTTCAATACATTAACCAGGGCATCTTTTACAGAAC